ATGCCATAAGTCAAATAAACTTCTAGACAAATTTAGGAATACGAATTGTTATTGTAAACAACAGATTTAAGACAGCCAGAATAAAAAAATACTACAGAGCAACTAAAATTACAAGTATTACAGCGAAAATGAGCAGTACACAGTATTAGTGATAAAATGTTTTAGTTATAAAATAATTATTGTTTCCGAATTAACAATTGATATAAAACTTTAATATTTCTTTTTATTTGTTTCTGTTCCTATCAATTGAAATGTAAAAATATTTGAAACTTAATTAATGCTTTATTATTATTACTATAACTTAAAGTTAATCTTAAATTAAAGTGAGCAAAACAATAACAAACCTAGCAAAATTTATCAGAATTAAGACCGAACGAAAAGGAACAAGATTCATGTAACATGTTTTAGTCTTAGTCATAGTTTATGTTAGTTCTTAGTTCATCATTTATCATAATCATGGTTTGCATTGCTTTAACTATGATCACAACTAAGACTTAAACATATTGCCTCAATTCGTGATTAAATAATTGGAAAGTAAACATTATTACCTTTAAAAACCTGAGTAAAATATTCTGGTTTGTTTAACATATCTCTCAGTAATGTGGTTTTATTTTCATAATTCTTCTTAAGTTTCCGTGTCTGTTTCTCTTTGTTCTTTAAAATTCCTATTCAACATAAAACTCTCCATTGTAAAATGATTATTGCAAGTTGTCATTCGGTTAGAATATATGTTTTCTACAGGAACACCAAGGCACTCATTCCATGATCGCTGTCTAAAATATCAAAGTAAATTTTCATTTAGTACAAAAAATCTATCTAACTTAAATTTATAAATGTACTTATTGATATTTAATGGAAATCAAAATAACTTGACCACTTCCTCTACCGAACGTCCGCAAATGTAGCAAATCCTATCCATTTTGGTCCTTACCACCAAAAACCAACTAATTCTAAGATAACAAAGTATGACAATAAAACTAAGGAAAACTAACTTATACAAACAAATAAACTACTAAACAAATCTATAATCAAACGATATAGATTTGTTTAGTAGTTTAAATAATCAAACGATAAACACGCAAAACTGCACAATAATTAAACAAAACACAGAAAGTTCGTTAGTTCTGACAGAACCGGCCAGTATTCTTCCAA